AGAAAATTTCCATTTTTTTCGGTCGATAATAATAATGATAACGACGCAATGTAACTAAAACAATGCATAAAAAATATATTTATTCAATTGACATTTATCGAATATGGAATTTGAATGAGAATGAGAATGATGAATTAACATTAAAATTAATATCGATTATTATGCAATCGTCAATTTGGGGTAAATTATTCATTCAATCAAATAATAGATAATTTTCGTTTCTATAATCAATTAGAAATGAAATCCAAAATAATGAACAATGACGACGTATTCGTAAATGTAATGAAATTTATATGAAACAAAAAAATCATAATGCATGAATAAGAATTAGACATGATGATGATAATGATTTTTTCATTTCCAATTCACATTATGAATGTAATCGATGGAGAATGAAAAAAAAAAGAGAGAGAAAATTTTTTATGAAAAGCTTTCATCATAATATAAAAAAGCTTACGGGCAATATATTTTGTGATTCCACCATACGTTTGATTCAATTATGAATGAAATGAAACCTTATAGGCTTATTATAGGTATCATCGTTTCATTTTTTTTTAATTTTGGTGCCTAAAGGAGTTGAAATATTAAATTTTGAAAAGTCTAGGATTATTTTTTTTTTTTTGAACAGAATAGATAATAAATAAATCACAATTCACACACCATTTTTATTTTCAGAAAAGTGTGGATGTGTGACGCTTTTTTTAAATTTGAAAAAAAATTCTCCAATAGCTTCAGGGATCTGAAAAACATTATTATTAAATCACATGTTGATGATGATGATCAGATCAACCGAAAAAAATAATGTATCTTGTTCCTGAAACAAACAAAAAAAACATTGATAAAATTTTCATCTTTTCGTTTGCGAAAATTGATGATCATGATGATGAATAATTGAAATTCGTGTCGAAAAAAATGTATTTTCACATGATCGAAACGATCCAATTTTGTTTTTTCCAAAAATTCATCGAAAAATACAATTTTTTGAGTGCCCTGGATTTAATCGTTTATTCATTCGTCGTTCGATGACATTGGTTTTGGTGAAATGTGTCAAAATTTATTCTCTGCTGTTGTTGTGGGGGCCCATAAATAGGATTTTGATTTAAAAATGTAAATAATGGTGCAGAATAAATCAACAAAAGAAAAAAATAGCAACAAATTTGATTTTCTTTTTTTTCGATTGAAGATAGATAGATTTTGTGGTTGTATAAAATGGATTGTTGTTTTCCATTCGCTATTTCTTCTTTTTTTTGATGATTTGATTTTTCTTTGATTCGAAAAAATATATTTGAATGACCACCACCACCACCACCACCACGCCGCATACATGTTTATTTCTATTTCAAATTATACAATATCATTAGCCAACGATTATGATGATGATGATTGTTGATGAAATTGGATATTTTTTGATTATCCATTAAAAATAAATGGCTGTTGAATATGAATTTTTATGAAAAAAAAAATTTTTTAAATAAATGAAAAAGACTTTAGACCTATTTAGTAAAACGAATCACAAATGGCAATAATTGACTTTTGAAAATGATATTTATTCATTTCAAAAAAAGCAATTTTCATGTGTGTGTGAGTACGGAAACCGGATTCAGATACCTCGGTTTTTTTCCATCATCATGGAAAATAATAATTTTCATCTATTGATTATGATTGAATCGTTATATAGGTCTTTATTTATTCATTTCGTTTTGTTACATTTTACATGTTAATTCAATTGTTTATCTGATGTCTATATGTGTAGGTAAATACAAAATGATTGTCATTAATGGACATACTACATAGTAATGGATGGAGAACGAAATAAAAAAAAACGACTGAATGATTTTTTCGCTCTCAAATGTCTCAATAATGATTATCAATTGTATGATGGTGGTGGTGATTGATTAGAATTTAATAAGATGGACAATGGATGATGATGGATAAACTGGCAAAACATTATCGAAAAAGTAATGAGTGAGAAAAAAAAACATTTCTATTGTGTGTGTGTGTGTGGAAGTGTGATTCTTCACCATCAACGTCTTCTTCAATTATCTATGGCGAAAATGTTGGAAAAAAATTTTTGTTGTTGTTGTTTTGCCACGTGAATTGTTTTTTCTTTTTCTTATCCATGCCATTTACACACACACACACACACACACACACACAGAAGCATAACAAATCCATCTTCCATGTTTTAACAAATCAACAAAAAAATGAACAAGTGACAGAAAAAAAACCAATTATAAGCCAAATCAAGTGTGATTCACACTCACATACAAACACGGATTGAATTCATCCAATTGAATTTTCATTGAAAATTGGATTTGACCCGTTTCATCATCGTCATCATTTTAGCTGTCAAAACATTCAATAAAAGAAAAAAGAAGTGATTTTTCTTTTGATCAATCGATCATGAATGAAAAAAAAAACAAATTTGTCATTGTCTCCCGTATGACGATGATGATTGCTCATGTAATTAGCAGTCAATAGATGAATTGAATTGAATTCTGATTTCATGATGTTGATGATGATGATTGAATTGAAAATAATTTTCTTCTTCTTCTTCTTCTTCTTCTATTTCATTTTCGTCTCCTCTTCTTTTTTTTTCATCATCAAAGTGGAACAAATTTAATTATCAACAACAATAGATTATTATTTTATTTACCTGTGTGTAAACTGTGTTATAATTCCATTTTCTATTTTTTTTTTTTTTTTTGAATTGAATTGAATTGAAATCGAATGAACTCGTTGGATTAGGTCAATTAGATCGATTCTTTTTTCTTTATTCATTCACATAGTTAATTCAAAAATCATATGGATAATTTTTGAAATATCGAAATAATTGGCCAGAAAATAGGCAAAACAACAACAATGTTTCAAAATTATCATTCGATTGCTTTACTTTATTTTTATTCATTCATTCATTCAGTCAATCATTTCCGAATTTATCAAATAAATTCTCTACTTTCACAATAAAGAAAAAAATTCTTGTACCACAAGATGATCATCGACACATACGAAAAAATAGGATTTTCTCTCCCTATCTATCTATCTATCTATCTATCAATATAAATATAGATACAACAAAAAAAATTCTATACCGATAAATGAAGCAATCAATCATCGCCAATAATATAACCAACAAAAAAAGAGAGATTTCTCAATTCAAACCAAGACGTGTGTATCTGTAAATGTGTTGAAGATCAAATCGGACAAGAGCGATATAGATTGAACACAACAAGCCAATTATGTTTTGTTTTTCTTGTTTTCATGGCAAAAAAATGTACATGGCCTTGTTGGTTGGTTTGTTGTTGTTTTATTTTTTTTGAATATTGTTATTATTATTCATCGTACCACCACCACTACCACCAACACCAACATATAGATAAATTTAAAAAAAAACGAAACGAAACAAAACGAAACAAAAATATAAATCAGGGTATCATCATCATGAATGAACGAGTGAGTGAGTGTGAGGAGAAAATTTGATTTACCCAAAACAACCAATTCAATCATGATTGCATGATCAATGTGTTTGTGTTTGTGGAATTAAATGGTGTGATGATGATACATCATCACATTTTGTATGTGTCGAGCATCAATAATATGTGTATGTGTGATAGATAGATAGATTTATTTGGATCATAATCGCTAAAAATACATAACAACAACAACAACAACAAAACATGCATGTATGAATATAAACAAGATGTCATTCGATCTTCATCATCATCATTATCAAAAAATCGAGTTATGATGATGATACCATGACAGCAGCAGCATATTGTATATCGACAAAATAATGTTGTTTTTGTTTTTGTTTTTGTTTTACATCACACCAATCGTGTTTTATTTTTTTTTTCGATGATCTTGATAAAGAGTAGTTTTGACCGACCCACACACACACACACACACATACGGTCGATTGATCGAGGATTTAATAATGTAAAAAAGATGATCGATTGTGATTCATCATCATCATAATCATTTTATTCGACGATGAGGATCGGTGACATGGATCGATGATGTGTTTGTTGTTGCTCGTCATTTCACAACACTGAACAATATTGTTATATGTAGCAAGAGAATTTTCGATTTTTGCTATAACATGAAATGATGATTAATTCATCATTTTTTCGTTGTTGTTTTTAATCAAATCTTGTTTTTTCGTTGAAGATTAATTTTGACGAAACTTTATCATTTCTATTAGTAAATGAAAATCTGGAATTTGAAAAATTTTCATTTCGAATTCATACGTGTGATGTCATCTAGCGGTGATCATATGAAATGTTTGTTTTTTCGAATTTATAACGGCCAGCTGAAAAAAAAGGTCATTGAAAAGCCAGTTTTTTTCTATAGCAATGGACAAACGTTGAAATAAATTTTTTTTGGGACAATTAATGATGATGGATGGATAACTCTCGACGATGAGATATTGTGATCACATAAATTAATTTGATCAATCAATTTTCATTCAAGTAATTATTGTCCGAGAAGAAACAGAGAAACTTTATAGGAAAAAAAACATTCATGACGACGATGATAGACAATTTGGACTATTGAAATTGATGTTTAGATGATTAGATTATAGATTATAGCGGATGAAATCCTTTTCATTGTTTCAGAAATGAATGATTTTATTGCTTATTACATTTTTCCAGGATTATAAGATAATTTCTTTTACCATCGCGCATTAGTCAATGTGTTGTCGTTATGACGATGATAATAATATTGATGTCATGAATCTTTAATCTCTTAAAATATGATAAAAATTTATGGATTTACAAGAAACAAAAATTCTTTTGCTCATTTTCGGTGATCTATATCCTTTTCTTTGTAATACAAACACAAGCCATCGATACATATACTTGCATCGTGTAAATTGGTCATAAAAAAAATTCGAATGAAGAAATTTTTTACAGAATTTTATTCGCTGTTTTTATTATTATTTCAATTTTTTTTTATAGATCAGTGTTTTTTTTCATTTATTTTGATTGATTTATTATAAATTGTGAAAAATGTATAAATCAATCATTTCAATACGATAATTGATTCAAATTTTTATGGAAATGGTGATAAGTCTTTACAAACAACAATGATGATGATCAACAAATGAGCTTCAAAATCCAAAAAAATGTTGGAATATACAAACGATATTACCGGTGGTCTTACAACCCAACAAGCTGTTTATAAATTGTATAAAGATGTTAAAGAATTTCTCGATGATCTTGAGGTTTGAATTGAAATTTATTTTTGTTATATGTCATGTTAATTGAAATTATTAAAACAGCCGCATCTACATAATGTTCAATCATGGAAATATATTCTTCGTCAAGCATATTCAATCAAAAGTAAACATTCAACATTTCGATGGACATCAATCATTTTTCTTGTTGTATCAATCATAACCTATTTGATTGCATTTAAATTTGGCCATTTTACCTCATCAATACCATTGGCTATTGAAAATGTCATTCTTGTATTAGTATTGATATTGAATGTTGGAATCATTTATTGGAGTTCAAAATCTCGTCATACAGAGCTTTATGATAAAGCTGTGAAATTAGCTGAAAAGATTGGTGAATGTGCCAATAATGAACAATTAATGAATCAATGGTCGACACACATTTTCTATGCAAATCTAACGACACCGGCGTCACCTTGTATTACGCTACAGCGTACATATCGTGATGATAAATTAGTCAATCTGCCTGTATCGCTTTTGGTTAAAGGCGATGTAATCTATTTAGAACCTGGACATAAAGCACCAGCCAATTGTCGACGTATCGATAAAGTGATTAAACGTGGTAAAAAACTAAACGATTATCATATTGATGATGATGGTGAAAATGGTCAATTTCCACATGTGACTTTAGATCATGCTTATACCTATGTATTTCTTGATGATGAAATGGGTAAAGATGCCACGCTTCATCGTGATGAAATATTTGCACCAAAAGTTGATAATGAACCAGAAACATTTACTGTGCCAAGATTTCGTAAATCATTACAACCGAGTAAGTTTTTGCTCATCGAAACACCATATGTTACGGATTTAAAAACTTCATTATCAACACAATCACAACATGAACGTAAACCAACTGCATTTGAGAAAGAATTACGTTTAATTTTTGTACGTTATTTGGAACATATGTTGGTACCGATAATATTCATTATCGTTCTTGGTTTCAGTATTGTTCATTATTGTTATGTTGAATTTACTGGAAGTCATTTCGATACAACAGCAGCTACAATAGCTTTGATATTGTTACGGCCGATAATGGCCATACTACCATTATTACCATTAGCATTACCTTCATTATGGCTAATGTTGAATGTATATGGTCTAATTAAATTGGAAATAATTTATAAATATTTCCATATGAATGAAGATAAACTTTTAAAAGCTGGAAAATCATTAGAATCATTTAGTGATTGTGATTCAAATACATATATTCATTTGACTGAAAATCCTTTATATCAAAATACCTCCGCTTTACGTCGTGAACATCTTCTTGAAGAAATTGATCCAGATCAAATGCAAACGATACCGACGGAAAATTTAATGATACAAAAAATTTTGAAGAAAATTCTACTTTTTTTCTGTGATGAAAATGGAAATCTATGGAGAACGACCAATCTATTACACGTATTAGGAAGTATAACAGCATTATGTTGTGTGGATAAAAAAGGCATTCTTTCTTGGCCAAATCCAATTGCTGACAAAGTATTTTTCTTATCGTCGGCTCAAAATCGAAAGAAAAGTTCCAATGAAGGTGAAAATTTCAATGATGATATTGACAAAGAATTTAACGATTTTTCTTCATCTACACATCATCATCATCATCATCATCCGCCACATAATCAAGGTGGCAAACGACAATCAGTGCTATCGAATGTTTCTCGTGCTGAATGTGTTCAATTGGATATAACACTTGATCGTCGTAATCCATATGGTCTACAATTTGATGACATTTATTGGAATCGTTATCTTTCAAATCTAAAACCACTGGGTTTAGCAATTTTGTTGAATACTTGTAATCCTGCAACACAAGAAGAATTTGTTCATTTTAGTGATCATATTGCGTGTGAATCTCTTACCAATGAAGTGGCTGTTCCTGTTGTCAGCAAACGATGTCTCTGTGAATTAGCTAGGCAGATTGGATTCACTGAAAATGCAATCAAAGATTATCGATACTGTTATCAGGTTGGCGTTTTTCGTCATATCCGCCCTGAAGTGATCAAGAAGGGAAAGTTGGCAAAATCATTAAATTTTTCTCGATTACGAATGCCATTTCCCAATATGACCTGTGCGGTTATTTGTGATTCATTCTCCAATACGTGTCAGCTACTTTCACAGGGTACCGGTGATTTAATTCTAGATTCTTGTGCCGAATATTGGAATGGTCAAGGCTTAGTTTTGCTCACCGATTATGAGAGGAAAAAAATTCTCGATTTTTACCAAAGATCTTCGCTCACATCATATTGTTGTTCATTTTCATACATTCCTGTGATCAATGAAAGTGGAACGACAGCTAATAATTCGGAAATATCACATTTTTATAAAAATCATTATATTGAACTGCCACCGGATAGTAGTCATTTGTTTCCATCACAACGAAGTCTTGATTCACATTTTCGTGCGCTTGGAATCGAATCACATTATTCTTTTTCAAATACTAGTCATCATAATTTCGATTCATGCAATGAATCACTCAATAATTCCATGTATTTGAATTTGGATTCCAAATTAATTGGACATCATCTTAGTACCGATTCAATTTCTAAACATGGAATCTATTCAACACCTGGTAATCATAATAATAATACAAATAACAATAATTCACCTTTCAATCAATATAAAAAAGGATCAACAGAAGATTTGGAAAAACCAATTGTCAATAATAATAATAATAATGATGATGGTGATAATAATCATACGACAATAAATGAATCATTGAATCGATCATCATTGAAAACTAAACCAATTGTTCAAGAAACTCAATCACAAAAATTGGATCAAACAATGAAAAAAGTAATTAATGAAGTATTTATCGGTATGGCTACATTACAATATCAAGCATGCTCGGATTTTGTTCGGCTGGTTGAACTATTAGATACAGGTATATTTTTCTTTGTGTGTGTGTTTGTGTTTACAATCAAATACTAATTTATATTCATTATTATTTATTATAAATTATAAAGCTTGTATTAGATTTGTTCATTTTTCCAAAGAAAATGAACTAAGAAGTCGGGTATTTTCTGAAAAAATGGGGCTTGAATCAGGTTGGAATTGCCATATTTCCCTATTAAATGATTCATTGGGGCATAGTAATATCATCAATAATGATAATGACTCAAGTGCCGAAAATGGTGAGCATAAAAAATCCAAGCATAACTATTCTGATAATTCGGGTAAGTAAAGTATTGAGATTTTTGTTTTTTTTTCTAAAAAATTTTCACTGTAACTTTATCTACAGTTCACCTGAAACATAAAGTTAATCATCGAATGTCAATAACAAGTATCAATTCATCTGATTGTTCCGAACAACCATCAAGTAGTGATTCGGAAGAAGCACCAATTAGTCATGAGTTACATAGATCGCGACGTAAACATAATTCTGTTTGTTCAGATCGTTCGGGCAGTATTCATAATCGTCATAGTTTTGCTCGGGCAAAAGAATTTCGAAGTTCAAGCAAAGCTTCTGGTAGTGTTTCAAATACACATCGTCAACTTTCACCATCGCCAAGTCGTAATACAACAACCAGTACAATGACCGAACATGAAGCGCCCATAACATTCGATATGTCTAATCGTGCAAAATTGCCCAAAGGTATTGATAATATTAGGCCACATCTGGAAAATGTGGACAATGTGCCCTTATTAGTATCATTGTTTACTGATTGTACACCTGAAGCAACCAAAGAAATGGTAAAAATCATGCAAGAATATGATGAAGTTGTCTGCGTAATCGGAAGCATGGCTAATGAATCGAATATGCCGATTTTTATGCAAGCCGATGCAAGGTAATAATTAACTTTTATAATTTACTCATTAAAATTCACCTAATTACATGTTCATAAATTCTAGCATCGGTATCGATCCTATGTATCCACATGTTTGTAAAACTGAACCCGTTCGACCTGTTGATCGAATCCCTGTACCGAATGAATTTCAAGATATTTATACGCCAGCACAATTGGCCAATGAATTGGTAGCACTGCCATGTTCCATGACTATGGAAAGACACAATGCAATCATTTTCTATTATCTAATATTGATTGCCCGTGATTATATGATGCGAATGCGAAATGTATTTCAATTTTTTCTCAGCTCTTGTCTAAGTATTTCGCTAGCTCAATTGATCACTTCATTATTGTTCCTGCCACCGCTTATTTCACCTGGTATCGTTCTATGGCTTTCAATGATTGTCATACCATTCTTGAGTGTTTCACTTATGGGCATTAAACCGGATCCAACAGTGATGACTGTAGCTACTGGAAAAAAATTACATCTCAACAAAGAAGTAAGATTTTAAATAATTTATATTTATTTATTTAAATTTTTCTTATTAATCAATTTTCGACAAATTAGTCCATTGTATATTTTTTCCTTTGTTACATAATCAAATTTACACCTTCAGTAGTGATTTGTGTGATTATGTTTGCCATTATAATCGGTACATCATGTGAACAAACCAAAGTTGGTCGATCTACATTAGGTCCATGTTGGATGTTTAGCGATGTCAAGTGAGTGTTTATTAAATTAAAGCGATCGAATTTTTCATTTTACGAAATTATTTTCAAAGGGCTGATGGTGATATTAAAACCGATTTAATATGGTCATCTCATCTGTTAATCGGGCAGACTATTGCATCGTTATTTTTGGTCCTATATCTGGGTAAGATTGATAACGTTGTAATTTGAATGAATTATGGTGATCAATATTTTGAATTATCAAGTGATTATATCGATTGGTTTCGTACATCGCAATCATCTTTTATGGCAACGATATCCATTCGTTAATTATTGTTGGTTAGGAACATCGGTCGTATTGATCTTCTGTCATCTAATCGTTTGTCTGATTGAAATCTATATTTATGTGCCTGAAGTCGAGATAACCGAACATTTTATCGAAATTATTCCGTTTTACATTTGGATTATTGGATTTTTGTGGCCAATTCTATTGATGACAATCAATGTTTTTGCTAAAAGAAGAGAGATAAAGTATTAATGTAATTTTCAAGGATTTTTTCTAAACATTTATTTTATTTTTCCTTAGAATCAGCACTCGACAACAACGTAGAGCTCGTTTGGATTTTGGCACCAAACTTGGCATGAATTCGCCATTCTAATCAGTCAATCAATCGCTGTATTGTAATTTTTTTGTTTGTATTCGAATGAATTCAATTTTCAATCAAGATCTTTTTCTTGTCCTGTTTTTACCCAATGTTAATTTTGTCCAAACACATCATCAATTACATATATTCAACATCAAAATTGTTTGATTGAATTTTAATGATGTATAAATGGAAAATATGAAAGAAGAAAAAATAATAGCGAAATCAATGTGATCATCAATTGATCAAATGTTTTCAAAATTCCTTTACATTTTATTATTATACACGACTATCGAATAATTGAAATTATTTTGCCATTTGCCAATGTATCGATGGACATTTATCATCATCAGCAGCACTTATCCATGCTAAATCTAAAGAGCGTTTTGTTTTATATATTTGATACAACAGAAAAGAGTGACAGGAAAAAATTTAATTTTCAATTTTTTTCGTTGTACAATTGAGTCATGTTTGACTCATCTCCCTCATTATCATCATCGTCATCATCATCATCGTCATCGTCATTATTATTATTGTTTTCGACAAATTGATTGCTCATCAATTGGCTATATATCATAATAATTGGCGATTATTATGATAATGATCATTTTCAAAATCATTAATTTTTTCTATTTCCTTTCTGAATTATTTATATATATTTATTTATTCCCTTTATACAAGGCAAAATTATCAATGATTAGCCTTATAGCGTGCCTATTTTGTTCTATTTGTGTTTGTATGATAATCGATAATTGAAGAAAAATACACACACACACACAATAATAGGTAATGTATTGATGGATATTTCTCATTCATTTTCATTGTAAGTTTTCTCACCTTTGTTTTTAAGTATCCTCTATAGATTTGACCCTTTATTTGAAAATGTTTTCATAGCAACCCTTCCGGATGATGATACAACTAATGTATTGAACAAGGTCATTTCCTAGTGGTGGCATAAAACCTCAAACAATGAATCATGAACAATCATAATGATTCAATTTTTTTCTGGCTACTGGTTTTCCAGAAACTCATATTCTACATAAATGTGCAATATTTGTGGACGTGGAAAAAAATCAATCATCTGAATCGGATTTTTCTTGATTTATGATTTGATATTCATAAATCAAATATTCATGAAATCAATACATTTATTTGAATATTGTTGCAGCATTATAGTATCAATACTATTCGATTGTACCAAGTGAACGCAATCAAACAATTTCTACATTTTTTCATATTGATCGATTGAAAAAAACATGTGCACTGTTTTAATATAGAAATGATAATAATCAAATTATTGATGGCCGATCATCATCGATAATATCACCGATGATTCAATCATTTTTTTCTTTGGAAAAAACGTACGAAACTGTCATTCTGATAATTATGATTGATCATAATAATAATCATCATCATCATCAAGGATAATATTCAAAATACACAATAATTAAACTCATTCGAGGTCAAGTTCAAGGTTAAATACGATGAAAAACCGAACGAAAAAAAAATGAAAAGAAAAACAAAACACTTCTGAGAACAATGAATGTTTTTTTAAGAAATGAAAAAAAAAAACAATACTTAATCGATCAACCCTACGTGAATCGTGCAAGAAAAAATTTGAAAACAATAAAAATCGTGGATGAACAATAATAGTGATGAATCGATAAATCCTTTTTTGCTTCAAGAAAATGGTAAGTCTACATAATATCTCGATTGATGCATATTTTGATTTTTACATCATCATCATCATTACTGTACATACATACATAGAAATAGTAGACACACACACACACAATGATAGTGAGTGAAAGGTCGTTGTAATTGAGTTGATTAACACTTTATAATTTAAAGACTTGTCGTTACATGTTAATGTTGTTACCATTCTTTTTCTTCACATTGCGACAAGTGTACACGAAGAAGAAAAAACTTGACACCAAATGGTACTTGAAATTCAAATCGTAAAAAAAAATATAAATTCATACCTTTAACAGCTTTGTATGATAAGCTTTTTTTGCCATAGTTTTGTGTGTGTTTGTGCAAATATTATTTCTTATGTGACGAATCGATTATATGCGGAAGCAAAATTGCCTGTTTTGCATACAAAGAAAATCATGATAGTCATTTTATTCCAGTTATTTTTTAGGAAAGGGTTTAAATCACAAAGGTCATCGTTTTTTGTCGTTGTTATTGTTAAATTCCAATGTCTAAATGAACTATAAGAAAGATTCTCGAAACTTGGTTTTTTTCTCGAAAAAAATATTTATTCAATCATCATTACCATATTCTAATATCTAATGATAGAAATGTTTTTGTTTGGAAATTCCATGCATTATTTTTATTGGTTTATTAGTTAATAATGATGATGATTCGTTTTTTTCGAATTAGCTACAACAGAAAGACAACAGGATAATTATTCCTTTTGGCTGTTTATTTCAAAATAGAAAAGAAAAAAACAAATTGAATTTTTTGGTAAGCGTTTAAAGTGAAATTTTTTTGATATGATACTTATGAATAGTGTAAAGCAGAATGTCAAATTAATTCTAATGATGATATGATTGACAGGACACAGTGATATATTATAATTATAATTTTTTTTAATTTTTATTTAGAAGCTTTTCATCAAGCCTAAGGCATCAAGATCAATGAACGTGTATCCATTCATCAAGATCGCACTAAGTGCAATCAATTATTATTCGTGTTTCTTGTCAATGATCATGTCAATCATCTTGATAGATTTTTTCGCCTTTAAAAAAAATCACACTAAACATAGAATTAAAATTGCTCGGAATTTTGAATGAAAATTATTTGTTCGCCGATCGATTGCCGTTGATTGATGTGGAATAAATGAATAAAGAATGATTGATTTGTTTTTTTCGTTGGACAAATGCATACAATCTGGACATTATTATAATGATGATGATCAAGATGAAGTTATTCTTTCATTATTAACCCTTTGAAAACTGAATGTTTTTCTTGTACAATTGTTATTATCATGAACAAATGACAATGATGGTAAACTGGAGCTTGTTCTTTTTCACTTTACTTTACCATCATTATGATCGACCATCATCAACAAGGCAAATAATATACACACAAAAGAAAGGGTATGCCCATCGTCGTTTGGACATCTACCTATTCATTCATTCTACATTCACATCACGCGAACATGTATGAATGAATGAACAAATAAACAATCTTCAATCTCTTCCATCCATAAGTCCAAACCTAAATGGGTATTTCTACCATTCGTCATTTCATGTATGCTATTCATTCGTGATGACCATCACTTGAAGAATAGAACAATCACCTTGAAATTAAGCAAGCAAATATTTTGTTTTCAAAAATTGTTATTGCGCGCGTCTATATGTCCATCATCATTATCCATATTGTATCCGAAATCGTTTGAATGGATAAAAATGTTTAAAAATCAAATGGCTATATCAGTTATTGATTGATAAGAATACTGCATTCTTCATTGAATTTTTTAAATAATCACATCGCAAAGAATTTTTACTCCAAAAATTTATTTCAATCAATCCAATAACGAAACGAATAAAAAGGTCAAAAATGTCAAACGTTCAACAGCGAATAAATCAAAATCATCATCATTCCACGAATCGTGAACAATTATTTCGACGATTATATCTCATCATTTTATTATTAATATTCATCGAATCGACATTTTCCTCAACAATTTCCTCAAATAGAGGTATGTAATTAATATTATCCTAGTGCATAATAATTTGATTATCAAAAAATTTTTTCCAATCGAAATTAATAGCCAAAACGAACGAAGATCGATTGATGAGAAAATCTCATAGAACAGTTAGACACATGTGCGGAAAATATGATCATCCTGTCAGACTTGAATCACAAAAATCGGCGAAAAAAATTCAAACGAAAAAAAGAAATAGCAGCAAATTACGAAAAGCTAGACAAAATCTAATAGGAAATGTTGAATCACCACTATCACTTTCGGACGTAGACAAAGACAATTCGACCATTGAAAAATTATTGAGTCGAGAAAGTGAAATTATAGTGCCATTACCTTTACCTTCATGGGAAACTTCATCATCGAAGCCAATAAACGATACCAATAATTTGTCGGATAATGAGCTCACTCTTGAAAATAACCCTGTCATGAAAGAATGTTCAAACGAAATACTTATGAAAGATTTAGGCGTTTCGTGTCTGAAAAAATCTTTGGATATGACACCTCCTGAAAATCTTGATGGTCGAAATTCAGAGTCTCGACATTTTAGTGTCGCTCCAATGATGATCGATAAGAGAATGAATGTTTCGAATTCATTCAAGACTCCTGCCGATACTGGTAATTTTCCATCATTGACAATCTGTGGACATTTATTAATATTTTTTGCCTTCTCATATCCAATGTAGCTCGATTAATGTATGCATTGAATGGCTCTCGTGATCAGATAAAGCTATTAAGACGTCCACCGAAAGTTCAAACCAAATTTCAGTCAACATCCGTAAATAATCATCCTAAACAAGGGGTTTCGACGCCTCATTTTCCTTTGAACCGTAATCCATTTTTGTCTAGTGTACCGAAAATTGAATTAGATCCCAAAATCAAAGAAGATCTAGAATTGTTGAGTAGTTTAAAATCCAGTTTGGGCATTTTAAATGCACAGGCATCGAACATCAAACAAAGAACTAAACTGCTGTACACCGAAGCGAAACGAAGAAGAATGATGTTCTTCGATAGACTATTACTGCAAACAAATAGGTATGTTTCTTTGAATTTTAACCCACCAAAAGCCGTTGATTATTTTTTTTGCAGCATAATAACCGAAAAACGAGATAAAACAAGCCATACCATTGATATTATAGAAGTAACAATGAATCGAATGCGAAAACAACAAGCAGTGAAAGCTTACAATAAATATAGACGTAACATGAGATTGGTAGATCCCAGCTTTGACCGATATCCGAATGGTATGCTCAAACCGTTGCCTAAAGTCCCAGAAATTAATCAGAGGCAAATCGATCAACTGATGGTCAATTGTGTAGACCATTCTAAACAAATGATGGCAGTGATAGGGCAACTAAACGAAGCCTTAGATGAATTCGAAATGCAATTCAATTTTCCTCGCTTTGAACCCAACTCAATCATCGATGAATATTTGAAAGATGTCGAATTATGAGATACAAATCATAACATGATCTTTATTTTGATTGAATCCCTCTGGCTAATCTCTGGTGGTATTATTTGTAGTTATATTTCGTGATTCGTTCCCTTCCCATTTTATTTATTATCGTAAGTACAAAAACCTTTTGTATAATTTTATTTCAATAAAGCTTCATAGAATGAATGAATCTTAATAAATTAAAAATTCGAAGTAGAGCCATCTGTTGACAGTAATAAATAATGTTTTATTTTATTGATAACAGATGGCATCACTTCCAATTTTTAATTTTTTTAATGATTTATTGATTATTGATTCTATGAAGTTTTATCTATAGATAAAATATCTTTAAATCATTTAAATGGAAGATTTTTATTGAAAAACACAGATTGATTAAAATATCTGAAAAAAATCGGAAATAAATACGAAGATAAAACTTAACGATACAAGTTTTTGATCGGATAAACATAATTTGTTATGCAGGAGAAAATATATGTTTGGGGTTTAAGAAAATAGAGCATCCAAAAAGGTTTGTTCAGATAAGTCTTGAATTTGGATGAATTTTTAGCGTCGTTTTTTTGCTCATGTAAGTATGGTTTTTTCAGTTATATATCACCAAGGTTACAATAAAAACAAGTTTCTGGAACCATTCATCAACATCACATGTATCACACGAAGGTGGATCGAATCTGCTAATATTCAAGTTCCGAAAAAAAGAAAGGCACGAATTTGATATATAAAGGAAAATTGATCATCACCACATATGGTCGGTTAAATGAAAGATGAATCAATGGTAGGTATTGATTTATGGATGGATGAATGAATATAAGAATGAGATGAAATGATCACAATGGTCGCAATGATTGAAAAAATATATCGGATGAATCGACTATCATCCAAAATACGGTATTTCCTTTGTGGTCATAAATTGATTGAATCATCCAATGTGCTTGAACGGTTTCGCTGTCTACATTCTTTGGCCGACGAGTTAGAATTTTTCGGGTTGAATATTCTTTTTAGTTTCAACATTTTCAGGTGAAGAATGAATTTTTGTAATAATTCCATATATTCCCGAGAATTTGATGAATTACAACGTTCAAATTGTGACTGATTTTTCGTCGGTGATTCTGGTTCATCTGTTTCATCATTGAATGATGATTCAAGGTTTTTATTAACTGGTGAATTCGGTAGTGACGAGGAATGGGCGATTGATGATGAAAAGCTCGCATTTCGTTTTGATTTTTTCGAATTTTTTGTTTGTGTACGAATGGATGACGGTAATCGTGCACCTGTACAACGAATAAAATCATCTTCATCGACAATGTCGATTATGCCATTATCAATCGATCCAGTACCGGCAGGAGCACTTGTCGAAAAGATCATCACCTGATCTAATGTTGGTGATTCACATTGTGATTCAAGTGACTCTTCTAGCTCTAATCGTGCCAATTCTTCTTCATCTTCTTCAGCAACATATTCAGGAATTGATACTGAATAACTGTATACACGATTGGTGATTGGATTGCGAACAGTACGTCGTACATGAGGAAATGAACGTGTTGCATGGTTCATACTCTGTGTTGATGAATATGAAGGCGATAATGGTGATTTTTTCACTGGTGAACCTCTCTGTTGTTGTTCAGTTGTTTTGTTTTGTTGTGATTGTTTTTGCACTTGAATCGGTTGTGATTGTCCTTTAGCACGGTTAGCACTAGCAAGCACTACTTTAGGTTTTGATTTCGATGATGATCGACCATTCATATGGACGATGCCATTCAAGACAACTTGGCTATTGCTGCCACCGCCAATGACAAAAGCAGATTTTTTGTTGTTCGATTCGGATGAATGGCTAGTTGTACGGCCACGACGATTCAGATTGTGATTTGAAGATCCAATCATATATCCACCACCACCGGTATCATGATCACTGAAAGCTGTTCGTGTATTGTAGATATCATAATGATTCTTGACTAATGGTACCATAAATGCCATTGTTGTTGATGTATATTTTTCGATTTGTGCTGTCTTATACAGATAAATTCTGGACCATTCGTGTATCAAATTTCCGTCAACAAAAATGAGAAAAAAAACAAGAAAAAAATGAATATTGCGGAAGCAAAAAAAATTCAGAAGATTGATTCGCTTAAAAAATGTTTCAATAGCAAATCAATTTTCAACAAAAAAAATTAATAAATCGATTAAGCTGTTATGGTTCTATTCGGTTTGACTGTATATATTAAAATACCGGCGATTGCCTGTAAAATTTTGCTTTTTATCCTCAAACGAAAAAAACCAAAAACAAAAAAGAAACAGATACACATACACATACATCTACCACTTGGTTTGCACAATGGATATTTGAGAGCTTGTTTTTTTTGTTCAAATACACAAATGACAAAAAACAACAAAATTCAAGTAAATCAGCCCAGGCTGCAGTCAACCATTGCAAGTAAGCAATTATATTTTTGATGTGTTTATACATATACACCGAGAATGTTTATGTATAAAAACATTATCAATGTAGTTGTAGTATTTTTTTTTATATATATGGTGGGCAGATGTAAATGGGCGCCATATCAACGTCATATTGCAGATATATATATATATTATATAGAATGCTATAAGGATGGATATACATGTATATTGGATACCAGCCATCACACAGTGTAAATAACACACTTGGGAAACAAATAAACAAAAAAAATGGGCAATGTAGAGGTAAACATGTTGACAAAGTTTTTTTCATTCTTTTACTGCATTCAATGTAGATGTGTCTCGTGTGTGCCCATATATTCATCATTGAATGAAACAAAAAAAAAAAGACAATGGTAAACACAATTTTTTTTCTGTTTTGCCGTTATAATTCTGAAATTAAAAAATAGACTACACATTAAATGGTGTTTAATATGCATTGAAATGGTATTGAAATTGAATGATGAATATACCTTTCACTCTCGAAAAAGTTTGCTGTTTCAAACCAAGATAAAAAACGAGATGCTCCCGTTTATTATTAGAGCTTATTCTTCCTTCTTCCTTCACCAGACATAAAACACCCCAACCCTGCAACTGTGGTATTTTCGGCTTTCGACTACCGAATAAATTTTCATCATGAAAATATTATGGTTTGATGAGCGATTTCATGTCCATGAAAAAAGTAGAAAACAAAAAAAAACATTTCGTCAACATATCAATGATATATACATCTACACTGATGGTGATGGTGGCATGTAAAATCAATGACTGGTTTGGCTGAAATAAAAAAATTGTTGTTTGAATACCAAATGGAGTTTATTATGGTAATCAAAAAAAAAATGATGATGATGATTATTAAATACAACGACAATGATGAGATTTTTTATTTGGTTCTTGATTTGTCTTTGTGGTAAAAGTGTAAATGTTTAAAAATGAAACTCATTTTCAATCAAAAACTCATTATTGGCATTTTTTACACGTTGAAATTTCTACATTCGATTAATGAATGAATAAAAAGATTTCCACTCCTTTATTCAGAAACCGGATCATACATCTGGTTTATGTTAATAACAGACAGACAGGTCATTGAAACATGATTATATTTTACTTGAAATTGACAATTCTACAGCCAGAATTGTATAAAATTTCTAAATGTTATTATCTTGTAAAAAAAAAATTATATCGAACCTTCGTCACACATATCCCGGTAGTATAGTTCCTTATTTGGGATTCGATCATTAATTTAATGAATGATGTGATAATCGTTGTTCTTGAATATCATTCAATCAATCAATTAAACAATTTATCATTTATTGAATCATATCTTTCACTTGGATTCAAGATAATTGATTGTAGAAAGAAAAGAAAAAAAACAAATATCGATATATTTCAATTCAAATCGAATGATATCATCATTCATCAAAAACATGCGGGTGAATGAAAAAAAAACTCTACACTATTATAATTCATCAGAAACAATTTGATAATTGAAAAACAAAAAAAAAGAATTTTTGCTTTTCTCTTGATTGTTAATTTCAATTCAGAAAATTAAATTGAAAATGAATCCAAAGGAAGAAAATATGGTTCGATACATGTCACACATCATCAGTTGATCATAGGATAAGCGAAAAAGACAACTATTTTTTTTCTTTTCAACAAAAATTATCAGCCCTGCCTCTCTCTCTCTTTCTAGGTTCTGTCGTGATTTAATTCGATGATTGATTTCGATCACTAAATGTCACAAACATAATGATATGATGTTAACATGTTAAAAATTTTTTATTACAAATCATTAATACATCACATGAGAAGGGGATACACATACTAAACATACCAGAAGCTGATGTAATGATTGAACATCAAATTACATTATATTACATATGTAGTTGATATGTATACGAGGTTATTATTACTGATAACAAAAACAACAAAAAACATGACGACATTTAACCAACCATCCACATATTCATTCATTGATGATGATCATAATTCTTAACAAAAAAAATAATAATATTGTGACGTAGTCACATAAAAATGATTTATTTTCGGGTAAATGATGATGAAGTAATTTGCATCGTCATTACCCACCCGAAATGATGATGATAATCAAAGAATATTAAATTACATCAATGAAACAAATAACAATATAAAGATTATTTTCATATTCTGTTCGCTTGTGATGTTATAATAATCAATTCAGCTTGAATCAAGAGCCTTTTTTAGCCAAAAAAAACAACAACTTGAAATTTTTCTCATTTTACAAAAATATTTTAAGTTCGAAAATTTAAAAAAAATTATTTTTAGCTTCTCAACACAAAAAATTCAATTTTCTACAATGTTACACAAAGACAGGAATCAAGTAAAAAAAAATTTCACACTAGAAAAATATTGTACAATTTCATTCATAATATTCTCGAATTCTAGATAGCTTTTATTGATCTTACTCTAAAGAATCCCCAAATTAAATATTTGATTTTGCAAAAATAAAACGACACGAACAACATTTCGTCACAAGTTTATCCAATTCCTCTTTCATGATAGGATTTTCATTAATGTTGTTGTTGTTTTTGTTGAATTTCAGGGTTTGGTAAATGGAATTCACACAACATTATTAAGGTCAAAAGAATTCGACTGTTGCTATGCCCACTCTTTATCCATCGTCTAATTGGATTAGAATCGATTCAGAAACAAAAAAATATTACTTTCGAAATGTTCAAAACAAATCGAGAACAACATGATCAAAATCAAAAAAAGCGATCAACGCCAATAGTAAATAAACACATATTAAATAATATCTACTCATTTTGTGTTTTTTTCAGACAAATAACATTGAAAATGAAAATCCAAGAAATGAAATGATTAAAAAAAGGAATGTGGAACAACAACAACAACAGATATAAAAATAAATGAATGAATAACAACAACAAAAACACTATTTATCCCAAATAGAAATCATTTTATTTCTGGGACACTGTGTCAACATAAACACTGAAGAAAATGTTTATACCAAAAAGCTACCCCAGCATAAACTTAAATTTTGATATTATCAAAACTGACAAACAAAAAAAAATATCTAGACTAGACATTTATTGAATGATATTATGGAAGATGATGATGATACAGAATAGAATGACATGCATGTAAAGTAATTGTAGCAGCCATTTTATTAGTTTTATTATGCTTGTCTGTCTAGTGGCACATTCCTGTGTGATTGCAATGATGTTTACAATAATAATTTTCAATATATTAAAAGAATGAATGAATGTATGGTGGATTACGTGACTTTAAGCATCTATAAACATCATAATAATATAATATATATAGATACAGACAAGAATGAATTCTTTTCTCCTGGCAAAAAGTCATTCGTAGAAAAAATAAAATGAATGACAACCATGTATAACTGACTATTTGAAGAATAATCAAAAATTTGCATGCAGAAACAAAAAAAAAATTCATTTTTGACAGAAAGGATGGATGAGTGTCATTTCCGCTTATGACGGAAACATTTAAATATATTATACAACTACATTTTGTATGATGAGTTCATCACCATTCATTGTCATTAACATTTGGAGAAAAAAATAAAAATTCAATTACTTTCTACTCATACCTTTATTTTATGAAATTTCATTTTTTTGTCTTTCCGAAAAATTGTACCTATACTTTTGTGATTTTGTCATTAACCAGAACGAAAATTGGAAATGCATTTCAAGGCCATTTTCCATGGAAAGAATAAGCGAATGGTAGTTTTTTTTGCCAGGAAATCCATAAAAGAATTTCAAATATGGAAAATTGATAAAAAAATTGATTGACAAATGTCATCTCATTTCGATGAAAAATTTGATTGTTATGACAAAAAAAAATTTCCATTAAAAAGTGGAAAATGTTTTCACCATCATCAAAAAAAAGACAATTCGGACAATTTTTTATGATTATTATTATCATCATCATATATCATAATAATAATTATCCCGAGTGCTTGGATTGTTTTTTCTTAGAGGGAAGAAAAAAATTTCGCAAAAAAGTAATTTTCCTAAACCTTGTTGGTTGTAATATTGTATAATTGGTCACGAGGATTATATATTCACTCTATATAGTAAAGTACGATAATAATTATAATGGAACAAATATGTAAATGATATCTCATCATCATCATCTACGTATATTGAAATGTGATCAATTTACTTTATCGATCAATGATCGATGATTTTATCACATTAATAAACACATGTTTAGGAAAACGCAAATGAAGAAGCCTGGTTATTATTATTGTTAAAGGGTGCATCGTACCCCAACAAAATAACCATATTATATAATAATTCAACTAAGAAAAAAAACATCCGTCTCATGTCATATCGATTGATATTTATTATCAATCAAATCTATTTTTGTAAATGCAGGAAAAAATTGTTCATCATTTGAACTGGAAAGCAACAACAATGACGAAAAAAGCTAAAAACAAATATACAGAAATAGAAATGTTAGAATCCATTAAATAAAAGTGCATTAAAAGGTCATCATCATCACCATATTCATTCGTTTAATAGGTGGTGATTATTTAGGAAACAATCAACCAGAAAAGACTGAATCATAATGATGATAATAATGTGTCGAATACACACATGAAAAAAACTAAAACCAACCTGTACAATGTGCGTGTGTGGTGGTTATAACAACCATGATTTTGGTTATTTTTTTCCTTGATGTAGTTGTTTTTTTCAGTTGCTAGGTAAGCACGCTTTTCTTTGTCTTACTCACACACCTCTACCTGATTTAATTATTTATTCATTCATTTATTAATGACTATTGTCATCACCATTCATTCATGCAGCTGTAGAAAAGAGCATGATGATGCAGATGAAAATTGTCTGAACAATGACATCAATCATAAAATCATTATTAAAATCTAGAAAATTCTTTAAGAATCTATCGATGCTATCGACAAACCTGTTGGTATTTTTTCGTTTCTGTTGTATAGTATACCCCCTACAATGTATACGTATAAAAAACACACGTCTAGGTGGTTAACATCTTGCTGTTTTTGTTTTTTTTTATTATTAAACAAAAAAATTTTAATAATTTTATTTGTAGACTTTTTATAGCAATAAAATATAGACAAAAAATTATTCGATATGTGAAAGACTTACAGATTGCATCGGAAATATTTTGATAATTTATTAGACTTTATTATAAATTTACTCTCATGTTGGACTTTGCACGTGTAATATATATTATGTTTTACACACATACAAACACATTCAAAAAAAAAAAAAAAAAAAATTATACTCACGTACACTATACAAGAGCAAAGCATAAATTTTTTATCAATATTTTTCTATGCCACACGAATAATTTTAAATAAAAAACTATAATCAGACATAAACACATAAACACAAATTGTATATTTTTAAAGTAGAGTTTGTATTTGTTGCAAAATTGTTTACAACATTTGCAATTCACAATCAAAATTGATACAAAGATCGAAAAAATTCTTTTTTCAATTTTCAATTGTGTGCTGTGTTTTTTTAAGAGACAAAAAAGGGTCATGTGATTTTTACAAGATTATTGTTCAAAAATATCGTTACAATTTTTTTTTGTAACAGAATGATTAATCGATCTATTTATTCTAACACCGTTTTTTTCTTTACGTTTTCATTACCATTTGTAGTCTTATTCTATTGAATTTAGAAAGAAAAAAAAATTTATATCAGGTCAGGCAACAGATGCTGTCTTGATCATTGACACGCCCTTCTATGTTGATGTCAATAATGAAAACATCTTCTAAAAATAGAATAATTTCTATGTAGAAAGAATTCTTTTTGGCAGCAATACAGTACAGACCAACGATATTTTAAAGAATTTTCATACGTGTAGGCTGTGGTTATGAATAAAAATCGGTCTGTGTATTCACTTCAGGGTGGGTTAGCATAGAATTTTTTTCCATTTATTTTTTCATTAACAAATGAAAAGAAATACCAAACCCAAACACATTCATGTTGTCGACGATAACCGCGATCGTCATGTGATAATTCTATTTTATTTTTGTCTCTCTTTCTCTTTGTGTGTATTGAATAGATAAATTATGTTAATTGTCATTCTCATTCATTAAGTCATTACAACGTCATCGGAAATTCTTTTTTTCTGATTATCATCGGGAAAAATCCTCAAAACGAGATAAACACTATTTGAATAAACATACAACGACACACATTTACATGAATTAGATAATAATTATATTCATATACATGTATATATGTGAAAGAGATATTTGGGCCAAATTTCAATGATCAGAAGAAAAAAAATCGAATCAAAAAATCAATTTTTCAAGGTCTCAATTGTGTGACAAACATACATACATTTTCAGTGCATATAAAAACGAATTATATAAGACTTATATTATTTTATATTTATAAGCAAAGAAAAAAAAATTCAGGACAAATTTTTTTGGAAAACTCTTGGACTAAAAACATCATCATCATCAGTGACATTACTAAAATAAATTATTATTATTGTTGATGTATTTTTTTCATTTGCTTTGATCAATATATGATCAACAACTTTGAGCTTAAATTGATGGTATGTTCTTTCTAATCGTATATATCTTTGAGGAAAAATGAAAACAAATTATATTATCTATATCAAAATCGAATCGTGAAATGATGTGATCAATAAAAAATTGATGATGACAACCCAGAAAAAAAGATTGTTTTTATATTTTTAGGCATATCATCATCATCATCATCAGTATATTATTGACAATAATATCGACATAATCATAAGACCTGATGCAATATATTATATGCTGTTGACACCATTTTTTTTTTTTGTTTCATTCTCATCTTTATATACTTAATACGTAATAATCAATTATAAAAATAAAAAGTCTCGTGTGTGTGTGTGTGTGCACACATTGTTTTTTTTCATATAATAAGTTACAAGAATTATCTATTTATCAATCATAATATAAAAAAATTTACTTTCAGATTTAAATCACGTACAATCCGAAATAATAAGATGATGATTATGTTTCCACTTGGCTATATATTCAGTTAATTATTATAGATTGTTTTGTTTAGATAGAATTTTCTATTTTTATATACAAATTCCAAACACACACACACATATAATGCTTGAACTTGAATAATCTGACAATAGTGAATGTCAACAACAAAAACAACCGAAGAAGAATGTTTTATTATCGAAAACAAAACCAAAAAAATCTTTTTCTAATTTCAAGGTGAATTGAAAAATAAAAAAAAAATTCAATTAGCAAACAAAAAACAGCATTTTTTCAATGACGAGGAAAATTTTTTTTATTCATAATTATTAGTAACTCTTGACTTTTTTTCTGCTGATTATGACAAATTTGAACCTGACATTTATTGAATGATTGATTGATTGATTAATCAATATGGATCGATCAGCATTAATTTGTGTCAGTACAATTTTTTTGCAGACAATAACATTGTGTGAATAAGAAAAAAAATTTCTGATGACAAATTACAACAATTAATGTCGATAATTATGTGTCAAAAAATCAATTCATTTGAATATTACGCAATCAAATCGAATGGAATAATTTATCAAACGATTTGCTATCTATGTGAATGATGATGAAAAATATTTTCAGCCATTGTAATTATTATCAATAACGATAAAAATTGTTTCAATTTTCCATGGCAAAAAAAATTGTAATAATTTTCAAACAATGTGGTGCACTAAATCCAATGAAATGAAATACAATATCTCAAAATAGTGAAAAAAAGAAACTTTGTTATCATCAACATCATTATCATTGGATAATTTGACTTTGTCCAAATCGCAATCAATTCATCATTCAAGATAAGATATAATAGATTTGATAAAAATATGATTGGTAAATAATAATAAAATTCCGAAAAGAAATCCAAGAGAAAAAATATATGAAAACAATTTCAAGTTTGTTTTGGTGGTGGGATTTGTTTTACCTCCCTGATCAGAATTGTTTCATTTCATAATGAAAATGAAATTTGAAAACAAAAAGATTTTCCGGCTTTTTTGCTCTTGAACTCCAAAACAATCTCTATATAGTAGAAAATCTCTATTATTATTGTATCCCAGGGATTAGAAACAAATAAACAAACCAAATGATCTATATAGACTAAAAAAATTGGATCAAGGATTCAAATGAAATTTTAATCTATCCAAAAAACAAGAGAGAAAGGAAATGATAATCAAAAATAGAAAGGATTGATTGTTTGCTTAGACACGATAGCAGATATATAGAGATTGCCGTTTGATTATTCTATTCTACTCTAGATATGAATGAATAAATGATAACCAGAAAATAAAGATTAAAATAAATCAATAATCATGTGATCCAGTTTTTTCCGTTCAAATCCAATAACAAGAGATTGTTTGGATTGTAAAATTAGTTCTTGATAAGCAAAATGAAGCCTACGTGATTAAATGAATGAATTAAAAAAACATTAGATAGATAGATCACATCATGAATGACATTCAAGAAAAATAAATAAATTTCATCAATTTCAGAATTAGTAAATTAGAGAAAAATGCGAAACAATCATGCAAAATACATAGAGATGAAACAAAAATAAAAAAGATGTTCAAATTCACATGATGTTCCGCATGGTGATGAAATCATCAATGTAAATAAAGTTTACATTAGTAATAAATAATAAAAATCCATATCATATCAATCGATATTTAAAAGGTTGTTTCATTTCTTTTTTCTTGATCATAAACTCACATGATTAAGCACACTTAATCAATTCAATGTTTTTTTCCGTTTTTTTTGTCTACATTATTGCAATATAATGATGATGGATTTTTTTTGTGCAAGACAATGCACATGATATACAACTAAACAAATATTCATGTAAAACAAAATACCGATAGTACAAATATAAAAAATAAATAATAAAATAAAACTTACATATCCTTTTTTCGTTGATAATGAAACGTAAATGATGAAATGAAATCATCGAAGCAAAATTATCATCATTAGAGATGAGATGACTAATTGAATATCATATGATTTGAAATAATGAAACCCGATTGGCATACGGGCACAATTGGGTTTGATTGGGAGATTCAAAAAAGTGCCCCGATTTATACTTGACACAATAAGCAAAGTACATTATTAGCAAATTATTAGTACAATTGAACATGTGAATCGATAATGTTCATTCGATTGATCGATTGAATGTATAGTATAACCATTTTAAAATTCATTAGAATATGCAATTCTTAATAAATGTAAATCATTCGATTGATAATCAGGATGTAGTTTTTCATTGGTGATAATTTCACATTTTAAATGCTTACATTGCTTCAATTTCTAGTAAATATCAAAGACGAAAATAAAAAACATGATCGTAATTAGTGGTCACGGGTAAATGTACATTTTTTTCGCCCGGGTTTTTTTTATCATTGTTCTCAAACCTGGGCGGTTTTTACAAAACTTACTTGGAAAAAATCATTACATAGGGATATTTTTTCATCACGATCTTCATAAGAGATTAGTATTTGTAGATGATGACTTGATGATGATGGTCGATTGATCATTAATGTTTCAAATAACCATCTGATAAATTGAAACAAGGCCAACATTCCTTGTTCATAATAAATACAATCCGACATGAGAATATAATCAATTTGATCCAATGGTTTCCAGCGTAAAAATTGCCATTGAAATACTGATTGATCCAGCCAATCAAATGATTCAACTTGAACTTGGTCATTGCTCAATAATGAGGAATTTTTTTCAATATTCAATTTGATTAATGGAATGCTAGCCTGAAGATCAGTTAACATGACTGATGCACCCATTGTAGCACACCATATTCCAACGAATCCAGTACCAGAACCAAGCTCAATTACATTTGAATCGATCATTGTTCGTTGATTACAATGGCAATAATATTCTAGATACTTTGCCATTAATAATGCCGAATCCCAAACGACACCGGATTCATCAGAATCATATTTCTGTACAATAGTTACACAAGGATTTTCTTCTTCACCGATTTCTTTTGTTTTGCCATCATAATTGACAACTAATTCTGGATGATCGAAATAAATTTGACGGCTGAAATAATTATTATCAAACATTTTTTTTTCTTCAAAAATTCAAAGTTTTATTAATTGTAGAAAAAAAAATGAAAAACAATCAAAAATGAAAATCAAAGAAACTCACACACACACACTCAAACACTCGAAAAAAATCGAACGAAAATAAAACGAACGATTAATTTGATGAGAAATAGATTACAGATTTGAAAACGTGTCGCCATCTATTGGTGATATAAAATTGATTTTTGAAAAAATTTTTTATATAGAAAAAAAATGTGAAAAAAGAAACTTTTGTAAATCAATATGAGAAAAAAAATAGCTACCAGCTAATGCTTCGATTCAATCAATTAATCCATTATGATGTGATTACTACGTTTGATTGTTTTTGTGGCCGTACGGTACTCATATTTGATTTATCGGTAATGAAATCCAAAAAATTCGTATCAATCGATGCATTGCTTGGATCATCCAATAATTCATCCCAATTGATTTCATATCGAAATACTTCACGCTCAAGCCATATTTCATAATTCTTTTTAAAATCTTTACTTAATCGTATCTCTTTACTTAACACTGACAATAGATTATTATCCACTTGTTGTTGTAATAGATCATTTTCAGCAATCGACACCAATGCTGGATTCAGTGCTTGTTGTTGTTGTTGTTGTGGTTGTATATAAACATTTGATATTTGATTTCCTGTTGTTGATGTAATATTTGAATCGAAAAATGTATTGCCCACGATACCAGCACCTGTAGCTGAAGGACTTGTCACTACCGATCCATTCAATCCATTGGATATATAATCATTTAATTTACCACCACCATTCAAATGACCAGCAGTCGTTGTTTGTGTTGGTTGAGATGCAATCATTGAATTTATATTATTATTCGGATATGGTTTCTCATAACGACGATAATGAAAACGATTAATATTGGCTTGTAGAAAAAATTCTTCCGTCTGTACATAGATGGATTTTGTATCGACATCATTGGCAAATGCCCAATCATCATTCCTACAACAACAACAAAAAAAATATATTTACAAAAACTAAGAAAAAACTAAAACAAAACAACAACTTACAATCGATGTCTAACTTTGGCATAAATATCTGACATTGTTTTCATATTTGATTTACGCCATTGACGGCCCAAAAATTTGGCTTGAATTTTCAATAATTTCAATACATAAAGCTGAAACATTGAATGTCGTACACGTAATGCACGTTTTAATGGCTGTGATGATTTAAATATCACCAACATTATAATACGACAATTTTTCCATTTTGTCAATTTATTCAATATTCGTAAAAGATTTATCGAAGAGAACATATTACGCCAACAATATGGTTGTGTTTCGGACAACAATTCAATCGTAGCGGATGAAAGCTCTGGCTGTTCACCAATCACACATACTGGAAAATCCCATACAGAAATAGTATTTTTTGATTGAACAAATTCCGTCATTTCTTGTGATAAAAATTTGATTATCAATGGTATACAATTGGCAAACATTAATTGTTGACAGATGTATTCAAATTGGTAAATGTGATTGATTTTATAATGTTTTAACATCAGTATCATTATACCAGAAATTGCTTTAATTATTATTTCCTGATGACGATTTAGATCAATTTTCATTTTCATCGATTGTATTACATTGATCGGTGGTTCTGGTGGCATTATATCAGCCAATACAATATGCGATTCATTTTTGGATTTCAGATTCGATACTGAACCAAGTAATAATTTCAATAATGCAATCAAATATTGTGGCAAGTTTGGCAACATTGCTCGATATAGTTGTTCAGCAAATGAATTACATGATTCATTATCCAATTCTTTCATTGTTAATGGGTAACGATGAATTTCTTCTTCACGTTTGATCTGTATTTCACTTAAAGATATGTATAAATGTTTTCGTAATACTTCAATACTTTCAAGAATTGGTGTTGGCAAACCAGCTGTTGTTGTATAATCATCGGGTAAATTATATTTAAGAAATTTTTGTCTTACTTGGTTAAAAAATTGTTCAATATCTTTTTGTCGTACTTTTGTTTGCCAAGGAAGACCTTTGGATATCATTAGTGCAGCACGTAGATTATTCAATTCTGTACGACGATCATTATTAGTATTTTGGAAACCATCTTCAGGTAATGGACTAGATGATCGTGGGGAGCCATCATTCTGTGTGGATGTTGGTGTCGGTGTTGCTGGTGTCAATTCATCAACCGTATCTTGTTGATCGGAGTTTTCATTTGTATCATTTGAATTTCCATCATTATTACCATTACCATCAGGTGGTTCAAATGCATCATCATTAAGAATGTCATCATCACCATTTACATTGGATTCATCACCATTGAAATTTGTTGATGTAGTAGTATATGATTCATCACCGAATGAATTTTGTTTCACAACTGTTTGCCTTTTGAATGGACGATTCATTTTACGTTGATTTTGTGAGTCAATCATTTCACTTGCAGTTGGTGGTGGTGATGCTGGAAACATTCGTCGTGTAACTTCCAATGTATCATCCGGCACTGGTTTCAGACCAGCATTTTTACGATAATGATTTTTCAATCGAAGCATTTCATCATGTCCACCCAATGTTAATAGCAATACTTTCCACAATAATAATAATATTTTTTTCGTTTGAAAATTTGGTGGCCCTTGCCCATTACAATGTTTAACAATCATATCGAATAATGAGATTGGCAGTAATTCACCACAAATTGGTTGCATTAATTCCTCTTTGAATTGTTCACGTAATTTTCGATGATAATCGGTATCACTTTCAGGACATTCGACAGACATTTCTTGTACGAATGAATAGATTATATTCACCAATAATCGTAATGCAACATTTGAATGGCAAGATGAATTTGTCATCGTAGCAGTTGTAGTTGATGTACTAGTAGTCACTTGTTGGGATGATGATACATTCATCTTCATTGAATGTTCAATTTCATAATGAATCAATTGGATAAACATTGGAAATAGGCCATAATCATAAAGATGGAATATATTTTTTCTTGCATATTTAGGCTGTTCATCAATTATTAGACAATCAGCGAAATTTCCTTGACACAAATACAATAAACCACGAATGGCTCGAATTCTGTTGGTACGATCAATAAATTCAATACCTTCAGCCATTCGTTCGATAGCACGATGTTTTTGATCTTCAGACATGTGTGTCCATTTTAATGGATAACCATAATCTTCCATTAATTCTTCGAATGCAAATCGATTCGGTGGAAAATCAACATCTTCACCATAGCTATACAGTTCGGCAATTTCATTTAAATGTTCATCAGTATCCGAATAGACAAATTTAATATTGGATGAATGATTTTGACCAGGTATTGATGGACCAAATAACGGTACATTATTACTGATACGATCATTAACGGTAGAAGTTGTTGAGCCATAAAAATTTTCATTATTATCAGCCATGATTTTGACAATTATCACAAATTAAATGTCAGAATTGAAAATTATAGTTTACCAATCTGCTAATCGTAATTTAAAAATCAAAAAAATGATCACCAATTCATATTAATGGTTACCTTGAGCAATTCATAGCCATACAAATGTTGTTGATTTTGAATTTTGAATTTGAAAAAAAATTTCCAAACAATAACAAAAAAGAGTGATTTGATGAAAAACAAATGACAATCGATGACTATTTCGACCAAATCGGTATCATCATGTTATTCACGTTTTGTGCATGTAAAATGAAGTCTGAAATGTGGTCTGGCTTATCAATTTCAATATATCAATATATCAATATATAGTGATGAAACGCGATGAATGTTTACATTTCGGATATTTTTGCTTGAATTTTTCCATGTGTATGGGTGGCCGCCCATTTTCTGTCATCTAGTCAAGTGGTGGTGATAATACCATATGGATTATCCCATTGTTCACAGTGGATGAAGTCTTGAATTCATTCGAAAAATTATCAAATCATAATGTTTGTCGTTCAGCTAGTTTGTCGTTTATCATTATTGTTGTTTATTGTTTCCCATCGATTTAAATTGATCTCATCGATAGATTCATATCATGATGAAACATCGGCAGCAACAACAAACTTGGATGAATATCTTTTACCCACCATTCAAATTGTGATATTAATCCATCCGTATAATAAAGCTCAATTCTTGCCATATTGTCTTGGTGCTATTGAATCGCAGAAATATTCTAAAAATCGTATCAGAATCAAATTGATTACTGAAAGAATATTCTATGAAGAATCGAATGATCCATTATATCGGGAGCCTGACGATATCGATGTCATATTGGATGAACGTATCCGAGTGAATGAACAAACAATTCGAATGATGAAAAGATGGTCTCGTGCAAATGAAGACCATTATAATGATATTGAATTATCAATTATCAATGTTCGATTACCAATGGATTCAATCAATTCATTGAACTATTGGAATAAAGATCATTATAGTCGTTTGATTGATTATAAAAATTATGAATTATATCAATCATTTTTAATATGGGCTGATTGGCTCATTTTCTTGGATTCGGATGTTATTCTCACGAATCCAATGGTGTTTCATAATCTTACCGCCATATCGGATCAGGAGGTGGTTATTGCACCGATGCTTAAATCATTTAATACATATTCCAATTTTTGGGCTGGAATGGATGACACTGGTTATTATATTCGTTCAGACGATTATCTACCAATATTGGAACGTAAACAACGTGGAAAATTTTCTGTTCCTATGATACATAGTTGTTTATTTATTAATTTACGCAAAACAGCATCACGTTCATTGACATTCGATCCGTTAGAAATACAACAGCTAATCGACACAATGCAACCAGCCCATTCATGGAAAATTCCCTATGATGATATAATCGCATTTGCCAAATCAGCTACATTGAATGGAATCAAGCTTTATGTAGATAATAATGAGATTTGGGGCTGGATACCATTGCCCATTGTTGAGGATAAATATTCATTCGAACAAACACGGCAAACATTGATTGATTTAGAGCTAGAATCCTTGATTGAAGGACCATTGTTTCCAATATCATCATCATTAGAACAATTTGTTGAAAGTGACGAAAATTACGATACATTAGGCGTGGATCAAATCTATGTAATAAATCTAGCACGACGACCAGAACGACGAAAACGAATGGAACAATGTCTGAATCTATTGGGTATACGAGCAAAATTTAAAATGGCTACCGATGGTAAAGAATTGAATGAAGAATTTCTACAAAAACATGGAATACATACCTTGGATGGTTATGTTGATCCATATCATAAACGGCCAATAACATTCGGTGAGATTGGCTGTTTTCTTTCCCATTATCGTGTCTGGGAAGAAGCTTCAAGAGAAAATTATTCCAAAGTGAGTCAATAAATAATTTTCGGTTTGTTAAATTTTAATCAATTGTAATTTTACTTCTTTCAATCAATCCAAAAAACAGATAATTGTACTTGAAGATGATGTTCGTTTTGATTGGAATTTTCGTTCACAGTGGTCACAGATTTTCAATCGTTTCGAAACATTATCAAATCAATATGATTTTCTTTATTTAGGACGAAAACTAAATGATGGCCAATATGATAAAGAAGAAATTATTGACGAATTATTTGTGAGACCAAGATATTCATATTGGACAATTGGTTATCTATTAACCCGAAATGGTATTGAAAAATTATTACAAGCAAATCCATTGAATCGTATGATACCGGTTGATGAATTTTTACCACTTATGTATGGTGCACATATTAATGAAACATTAATGGAAATGTTTTTTCATCAACATATGAATAATGATGATAAATTACAAGCATTAAGCTTAAGACATTTAATTATTTCACCAACACATTATGTTGGTGATCCATTATATATAAGCGATACAGAACAGTCAAATAAATTGGATAATAATATCGATCATCATCCAATAATAATGGATAATAAAAATTCATTACCAATCAATGTTGTTGAGCATGACCACGACGAAATAATTGAATGGAATAATAATAATGATCATGATCATGATGGTAATCATGGACGATGGATGAATATACAGCCACCACCACCACCATCATCATCGGATGATAATGTTGGAAAAATTCAACATTTTGATTTATAAAAATAGCTATTATTTTCTAGTCTTTTGAATGATTCTAATCTGTCTGATTTTCGTAATAAATAAAAGTTTTTTTTTCTTGTGAAAAGATATATCTTTTCTTAAATCTGATGAATAGAATATTTTTGATCATTTTCTTGCTATCGAATGTCAAATAGTTCTCACAAAATCCGAAAAGTTTATGCATCTCAATATTTTCTTTTCTTTTCGTTATTAATCTTGGAACATTATCATGCAGAAATGAAAATCCGATTACGATGAACGAAAAAAAAGGACTTGGAAAAATGAGAAGATTCATTGAATTTTGAAAACTATTTTTGGAAAACAAATTCATATCCGGTTCTTATTATTTCATGGCCATTTTTTTCTTCTTTTTTTTGAAATTTGAGAATGATCAATATGAGTGAGCGAAAACTTTTTTCCATTTATCCTTATCAGGAAAAAAAGTTTCCGGTTCAAAATAGCCTGAAAAAATTTTTTATTTAAATACGGAAAAATTTCCAAATTTTCATTTCATCCATTATTCATCGCATTTAGAATTTGTCCACTTGGATGTTGTTTTTTGTTTATTTTTAGAACAACGAATAACCACCGACAACAACAACAACAACTAATCGAAATTATTTCCGATGTAAATTTATTTCTGGTTCTATCTTCCGTTTTTATGAATGACAAAAACAAAACAAAACAAAAAAATGATGACGTTCATCATCATCAAATAGATTGTTGTTGTTTATCCATTTCGTCATCGATGATGATCGTCTTCTCTCATCGTTTGATCTTGTTTTGTTGTTGTTGTTGTTGTTGTTGTTGTTGGAGAAATTATTTTTAGCCACCATCAAACATGCACACGCATACAAGTAGCTGCTGACCTAACTGTTAACAATGTTTTTCTTTTATTTTTTGTCGATCATCACATAATCATTGTTCAAACCAAACAAAACAGGAGCGAAAAACAAATTCTACTAATGATGTGGGCCAGGAAAACGAAAATTTTATGGTTATTTTTAGCCAAATGAAAAACAAAACAAGAAAAAAAACACAAAAACGAATCATATAGTGAGATGAACCGGAAAAAGCAAGAAGGAACAACATTCATCATTATATCCCTAACGCTTATCAATTTTTATTTTCAAACTTTCGTTTCATACACAAAAGTTTTATCCCGCGTACAGAGATTGAAGGCGCAAGATCAGTAAAAAAAAAAATTTCCCAAACAAAAATAGCGAAAAAAACTTCCACATTGCCATTTTCATCAAAATTCAAGTGAGTAAATATATTCACCGTATTTCTTTCTCTCTATCTATATATTACCTAACTTTGAATTATTATATGGCCTGTTTCTAAATTTAGAATCATCATCATCATACATACAAAACAGAATGGAAAAAAAGAGAATCAACATTTTTGTTTTGGCGCAATATAAATATTCTCTGATTCACTCCAACACACTGTATTTGTTTACCTCTCTCTCTCTGTGTGTTTTGAAGAATTCATTTGAATCATGTGGTGGCTTTTTCTTGCTTTTTTTGAAATCATCATGAGATGCTAGAGGTTCCAGAATTCTATAATCATAACAACAACAGTGAAAATCAGAAAAAAAACTCACAAGATTGAAAATGTGCACATAAAACTGATTTCTCATTTTTAGTCTGTATCGACGATTCGAATAATGGAAATAAATAGTCCCGGAAATTTTAACGGTGACCTTAACTCGGAAAAAACGGGAAAATTCTCTCTCTCTCTCGATTCCAATATCAGATATTCTATATATAAATGCAATTGATAGATCGATCGACCGATCGATTCGTTCATTCGATTAATGATGATTCAACCTTTATCAAAAAAAAATCTCGAGGAAAAAAACATTCAAGATAATATTATCGTAACCACCCCCACCCGTTCAACAAAACAGGCCACGAATTGCAACGACAAAACAGACATACACAATGACTTACGGATTTTGACTCAATTACTGGTGAATGATAGGGTTTTAATTTCCCAATATGTACACGTTCCACCCGATTCGGTAATTGAATCTCATATATTAATTCTGATAATTTGTTTATGATCTTGAAGGGGCCTTGAAACACTGGATCAAGCCTTTTCTTATTTAGCTTGTCCGCAAGGTCTGCGTAAACTAGATCACCCTGTTGTAAATGGATGTGTCTGTGTTTTTGTACTATTCGTTTTTTTGATGTTTTGTGTGATGCTAAACTGTTGGAAAGAGCTAATTTTCTGGCTTCAACTAGATTAACATTTGTGTAAAATTGTTCTGGGTCTGACCCATTTAATAAGAATAATGGTGTATATGTGGTTATACAGTGTATGGTGGTGTTATATGTTTCGATTACATCTTTGGCTAATGCTGACCATGATCTTGATGGTTCCAATATTTTCTTGCATCTGATCTTTTCAACCAACGTTTGACCTACTCGTTCGATCAATCCATTCGCCCAACAAGCAGTAGTCAAAGAATTGAAAAACAAAAATTTCTAAAAATAGAATCAAAAATAGACCCAAATGATGATGATAATGATGATGATGGGCCTTGTATCTAGGTTCCATGAACCGATATTATACACACAGACAAAGAGAAAAAAAATCTTTGAAAACAAATTCTGCGCGTGTATTTATTTATATATATGTGTGGTACCAACGATGATTCTATCTAGTTTTTTTTTCATTTCATCTTTCTTTTTTTTTATTTGGAACACACACATAGTGTGTCCTGGAAAAATTTCAAACTAATGAAAATCTATAGAAGAACTATATATATATATATGTGTGTGTGTGTGTGTGTAAAAGTCAAAATCCAAATTCAAATACAGGCTCCAAGTTTGAATTGATGTGCGCAATCAGAAGAAAGTTTCTATCGTTTTTTTTCATGTTGGCCGAATTTCCCATTATATTATCAGTTTTTTTTTCAATTCTTTTTGCCCATGCTTGATAGTCGCCCATTTGGTTTGGTTTGTTTTGTGTGTGGATGGATGTCGTTCTCAAAATAGAATCCACACACACACACACATAACCAACACATTTTATTGATCGAAATGATGATAGAGAAAGAGAAAAAACTAGGTTGGATTCAAGTCACCAAATACACACACACATAAAGTACCAGTGTTTGAATTTGATGAAAATCAAAATGAAAAAAAAAATTAGAGCAAAATTATCAACCAAGAAAATAAATGAAAAAAAAAACATTATAGACTCGACGAAAGTAAAAGTCAGAAATTATAAATCCAAATCTATGGCATTGAAGATTTTTTTTTTAATTTTCTTCCACTCCAGCCGTAAAGGTTAAAATATATTGTGTTTGTTTTTCAATGTTCACACGAATTTTTATCATTGCATTGACGCATAAATTTTTTTTTCATTGATTGCAATATTTTTACAATAATTAGGTAAACATCGACGGTAAATCCTGATGGTGAAATCAAATGGAATAGAAAATAATGATAATGATAAGTAGGCCAAATCAACTAATCAAATGTTGAAATGAATAGAATTTGTTAAGAGTAGTAGAAAGAAAAATATTCCAGAAACAAGAAAGAGGATGGACCAGACATATGAATACACAGAATAATCGATACACTCATGACTGACACAAATTTGATCCATGTGATTCAGTCATATTTTTGTCAATTTTTATTTTATTTATTTGGGTTCCATATTTTATCTATATTTTGTTTTCTATGACTTGGTTTATTCATTTGGATCAGCATGTATTTAGGGTTTAAATTTATTGGACGCAAACATCCACATACCAATAATAATAATAATAATAATAGCCACCATTCATTTATTTGTGTAATATGAAGAGAATTCAGGGAATCTGAATGAATTTTGTCATTGAAAATAGGAACTGTGGTGTGTGCATGTGTGTGTTTGTTGAAAAGAATTTTTTTTTTTTTTTTGTTTCTCTTTCTTTTATCTCTATGAGCAAATATTCAATTACGTATTCTATTTTTAGCTACAAAATATCTATATTTGTTTTCAGCTTCTTTTTTCCAGAGAATAAAAAAAATTATTTGAAATAAACAAGATGATGATCATTATTTGAATGAGAATAATTGAATAAAAAATGATATTCTATAATTTAAACAATTGATTGATTAAATGATTGATTTGGTTCGATTAAAGTAAACAAACAAACAAACAAACACGCATTCAAATACACCCACGTATCATCATAGTAATTATAATTATTTCTCAAATGATTTTTTTTTTGTTCGTGTGTATGTGTGCGTGTATAAAGGAAAGAATTTGGAATCGAAATGAGAAAAACAAAGCAAAAAAAAAAAATCTCATCTTCAAAAGATTATATATAGAGATTTGTGAGAAAAACATGGAATGTGCAATGAAATGAAATGAAAAAAAAAACAACAAAAATCTTGATTCAATTACAAAATGGACAAAGACATCTTAAATAGATAAATAAATAAGAAGAATAACAACGACAACAACAACAAGAATCATTCTTAATATCAAATTCCAAAAGTCATCATTCATCTGGTACCACCACACCACCTCTTCATTGTGTGTTTTCATTTTCTACAAATCATAAGATTCTTGTCTTGTGGATTTACCAAATGAGTCTGTTTTTTTTTTTTGAATTTCAGAATTTATGATTATAATAATGTGTGTTTCGTGAAATGTCAAACAAAATGACAATTCTGAAAACAATGAAAAACATCAATTTTTTTTCAATCAAAATTGAAATTCAATTAGATGAACAATAAGTGCGCTATACGGCATTTATTCATCAAAATTGACTCGTGATGAATTTTTTCGTTTGTTTATTTGTTTGAATTAAAAATAGAATCTGTTCCTGTTTTTTAATGTTTTTATTTTTGTTGCTGTTATTGAATATTCTGTTCTCTTCCACTTTATGTCATTCAATCATCATCATCATCATCGTGGCATAGAAACAATGATGATGCTAAACTTAGATTATCTATTTTTATCCACTATTCATTCATTATTACCCGGAATGTTTTTTTTTACTTTTGTAAAATTTGAATTTCTTCATTTGTTCACATTCAACACTTCCTTGATCTTTCAGTAGTGTGTGTGTGTGTGGGTTTTTCATGACAATTCGGA